GGATTTTGTGTATCAGGATTTTGTTGCCGGGATTTTGAGTGTCGGGATTTTGTGTTTCGGGATTCTGATATACAACCGTAAAAGTCTACAAGGCTTACTAGAAAAGGTTGTAAGATCAGAAGTTCACTTACTAATAAATGCCGAAAGACAAAAGAAAAGTCTGCAAGAAGTTCTCCAAAAACATCGAAAGACAGGAGAAAATCCACAAGACAGTTTTTCAAAACCACCAAAAACAAGAAAATCCACAAAAAAGTTCTCCAACAAATGAAAGATCTACAAGAAAAAAAGTTTACCAACCAATTCTGAAAGATTAGTAAAAGTCTACAAGGCTTACTAAAAAAGGTCGAAAGATCAGAAGTTCACTTACTAATAACCGCTAAAAGACAAGAAAAAAGTCTGCAAGAAGTTCTTTAAAAATATCAAAAGACAGGATGAAAGTCCACAAAACAGTTCTTCAAAACCACCAAAAACAAGAAAATCCACAAGAAAATTTTTCAACGAACAAAAGATCTATGAGAAAGTTCACTAAACAATTCTGAAAGATTAGTAAAAGTCTACAAGGTTTACTAGAAAAGGTAGAAAGATAAGAAAGTTCACTTATTAATAAACGCTGAAAGACAAAAGGAAAGTCTGCAAGAAAGTTCTTCAAAAACATCGAAAGACAATAGAGAAGTCCACAAAAAAGTTTTCCAAAAATGTCGAAAGACAGGAGAAAAGTCTGCAAGAAAGTTCTTAAAAACACTAAGAAAGTTCTTTAACAAATCGTCAAAAGATGCACGACAGCCAATTCTGAAAGATTAGTAAAGTCTACAAGGTTTACTGAAATATCGATATTATATAGTTTTGAAATTTAGTAAACTTTAGCGTTATAAAAAAAAGTTATTATATAAAAATTTTAAAGTATGTTTATTGATAATCTAGGTGATCTTTATTCTATAGTATTCTAGTCGATCTAGAAATCTTATATTTCTATTTTTAGATTTTGTCGTTTTTCAATTTTTTTTTACTTTTTGCAATTTACAGATCTTTTTATTATATAATTTGGTCTTGTGATTTGGTAAATCTTTTTGTCAAATATATACATATTAGAAAATCGAAAAAACTCAATTTTTTTAAAAAAGTAAAAAAGGGCTGTTTTAATTGATAACACCCTATATAGTTAATCATTCTTATATTAATGATTTTGGTTTATATAAGCCAGTGTTACAAGACTCAAATTCTAAAAGAATTTTGGTATACTTCAATATATTGCTTCAGAAGTACTATAGACAATAAAAAGGAATATACTCAAAAATTAAATATTTATTTTTTTAGAATAATTATATTGTAAGTTTTTACTAGATATTCTTCATTTCATAATATTCACACAATGAAAATCTAGCAACGTGTATTTGTTTTGGCCATAAATCCAAAATTAAATATAAAGCTCTTTATTTACTTTTAGATTTAACAAATAAATATTTAAATACAAAACCTTAAAATATTAATATAGTATTAATTTTTTTATAATTTGAAAAAATAAAAAAACTAAGTTATATAAGCAAGTTAAAAATTTTTTTTTTTTGCCAATTCTGCCTTTATTATATAAAGGATCGTATTATTTATACAAAAGTATATAGCTATTATCTACACCCTCTCTTCTTCTCAATAAAAGCTCACTCTGCTACTTTATAAGTGCCCAGATGTGATCTGCCACAGCAACTTTTTCCTCACTTTTGGTTTTCAACTTGCTAAAAGACTACCTATTAGATTCTCAGAAGCAAGTTAAAAATATTAAAAACTTAGACAAAAATTTTTTATTATATAATTAAGTCAAATTGGTATAATTTAAATATTAGACATATTTACAAGATATTTATACAAGTTGATTTTTAAATATTTTAAAACTCTTTAAACTAGATAATAACACATATTTTTAAATTTGTTAATATAGAACCTTTGTTAGAAAAATTTCAAAGAGTAATTTTTCTAGCAAAGGTTTTATATAGTAAATGCAAATAATAATATTTATTTTCTTAAATTGAATTCAAACTGTAGTTTAGTATATTAAATAAATATTAGTATTACATTCTGTTATATAAATTATTGTTATATAATATATAAATTTTAAAATCATATGTATGTGATTTTATGTATTATTTATTTTATTTATTTTTGACTTACTATAAAGTAACTTCTAATAGAATCTACCTATATTTGTATTTTTTTAAGCATTTTGTAAATTCTCTTTACTATTTTTTATTTTTGATAAAACCTAACTAGTCTTGCAATATATTTGATAAATGCTTAAGCTATTGCTACCTCTTATATAGTTAATACTCAAACTAATATTTCACATGCTGCTAATATAGAAGCTAATATCTCTTATAAAAATGCAGTTTATAATAAATTTAAAGCCTCTTGTAAAAATATGACTATTGGAGAGATTAATATAGATATTAGTAGTGTTATAATATAAAAATAAATTTTTTTTTTCAGTGTTAAGGTGATCTCTATGGCTGGGGGCTTTTTATTAGATAATTAACAATGTTTACAATTATGATGAGTGTACAACTAGCTACACATACAACTTTTAGTTGTCTATTTAAGTAGTTCACCTGAGTTCTACACTAGCCACCATACCTGCAATCTAACTAGGAGATTATCTATTTAAGCTTACTGGCTTTTACAAGTAAGAGTATGACTAGCTATACTTGCAACTTTTGGTTGTCTATTTAAGTAGTCTGCCCAAGGTTCTATACTAGCTGCCATACCTGCAACCCAACTAGGAGATTACCTATTTAAACTTTCTAGTCACAACTGGCCTATCATTTCTTATCTAACCAAGGTATAACTCACTATTTATATGCTAGATTTTGTGATACCTATAGATTTTACACCCTACTTAGGACTACTTTATCTTCAAGATAAACCTAACAGAGCAGTACATATCCCACACATGTATTTACCTGCATGTTCAGTAACTTCTTCCTAATCTAGTACCTGTTATGTTACTGCCACCGAGTTCATATCTCAAGCTATCTTTTAAAATACTACTGTAACCTAATCCATAACTCAAACTACAACTTTCCTGTTTTAGTAGTTGTTACATACTTTTTTGCCCTTGTATTTGCATTCGCACAACCCCAGCACCCATATTCGAACTTTCCTTCTATTCCAGATTCTTTATCGGTCTCTCCCTTACTTCCAACTGGCAACCCGAAAGTGTTGGTTCACCTAGACTTTAGGTGTCTATATGGACTTCCTTCCCTTGATACATGCTTCCAGAGCATATGTCCTTTTTTTCTAGTTTTGGCAGCCTGGCGGTTCAGCTGGTATGTCCCCCTACTTAAGAACCTGGTTGCTTGATTCTCCAGTCTCGGTCTCTGGTTCCAAATTTAGTCCTTCTGTAATACTGTTAAAGATCATGCTACCTTCCAACTTGGGACTTGCCAAACAGATTTTCAGTTCTTCTAGTATCTCAGATTTATTACACCAAGGCTTCCATTCTAGATAGTGTAACCAAGATTACAGATTTCTAGATCCTACCGATTATCGAATAGCTATTAACTGTATTACAAAGCTATTTTTCTAAAACATCATCTGTGGGATTCGAACTCTAGACCTGCCATCTGCGGGTGCAACAACTCCACCACTTCACTAAGTTGCCACACTCTTTAATATAAAAATAATTTATTATTTTAATTTTTAATTTTAATATAGCATTTCATCTTTTTAGAAACATCTTCAAGTAAGATATTATATGTTTTTTCTTTGTTAAAAGTTGAATATATATTTTATTTATAGAATGATATTAACTCTTTTCTTAAAGCTTACAGTCAACATAATGAATTTCTATTATCAAAAAAAGAGCTAAACAACATAGTGATAGTATACGTAATTAGGCACTAATCTTATAGATATAAATTTGGAGAAAAGTAGGTATCTAAAAAAAAATATTAATATTTATATTTATTGTAACTAGCAATCAAAACATCAAAGATATGAATGGCATATTAATTTAAATCTTTTTAATCAATTTACTTATATTATAGTCACAATATTTATTAATACTTACAATTATAAACTTTACCCTGAAAACAGTAAATATAGTACAAAATTTAAGTCTATTGGAGAAGATATGCTGAATAATATTAAATTTTATATTAAAAATAGAAATCTTCTAATTGCTATATAGTGCTAATTGTTAAAAGCCAAATATCCAGATATGATCTTTTTAAATATAGATCTTGCCAAAGCTATTCAATATCATAAAGTCAAATTTAGAGATCTTACAGAAGATGCTTTGTATTTCTATTATTTCTTATTGAGAAATATTTAGTAGAATTAGGCTAGTGTGTTGAATTTGAATTAGATAGTAATAATCATTTTATCTAGTTTTTTTGAATAACTCTTAAGCAACTATCTTTATAGCTTGAATTCTATAAAATAATTCTTAATAATAATACATCCAAGACTAATCAATATCAAATACTGTTTAGCTTATTCTTTACTATCGATAATAATACTAAATTGTGTTTAATAACACAGGCATTAATTTCTAATAAAACAATAGCTCTTATCAATAGATTATTTAGTATACTAAAAAAGCTACAGGTATTAAACTTTTGTTTTTGTTATAAATGCAAGCCCAGCAATAAACAGTGTACTGGAATATAAGTATAAAAATACTTATTTTTTATACTATATTTATTATATTAGTTAAAACCTTCTAAAAAATTTAAAGACAGTACTAGGTAATACATATAATCTGTTCATTAAAGAATTTTTTTAATATTGCAATACTTTGGATAAGATATTATTTGAATCAAGATAGCAAAATTTACTAGAAAAGTATCTATCTGCTTCAAGTTATTTAATATAGATTCTTTATCCTAGTTGCTATTTATATGCTGTGCTTTTATTTCTAAAGTTTTTACTGCTAGAGTCTAAACTATATTATAGTTGAAAGAGTATGTTATAAATTAGAATAAAGTTTAAATAATTTAAATTAGAGTTAAAAGTATATATTATTTTAGAAATGTGTTAGATATTTGTTAAAATTATAATTGAATTTTAATTTTGCTTGCTTTTTTGTTTTAGAGTATTAGCTAATATCTGATATATTTTGCTATTAAAGTTTATTATTAATTTGTAGAGGTCCAATCCAGATAAATCCGTCATCCATTTATCTATATCTGAATTTATCCGGATATCCATTTACTATTGGTATCCGGATAATCTGACAAATATTCGGATAATTATTCGGATATCAATAGTAAAACGGATATCCGAATAAATTCAGATCTGGATATCCAATAGATAAATGGATAAACGGATAATGGATAGAAACTCTATTAATTTGAGTTTGCTTACTCAAAATATTAAGTTTTTTTATCACTAGATTTTAAAATTTAAGAATTCAAATTAAATAAGTTTTGTTTTTACTTACAACAAATACAACAATATTATTAAAAGGCTATTATATAGCAATAGTAGTTTATATGACCTGTTAAAAATCTTGAATTCACAATTAGAAAAAAAAGCTAAATAAAATCATTTTTTTAAATACCAGACTTTGTCATCATATATTGGAATTGTATTTGTTATTATTAAAATATTTTTTACTATAGACTATATAGTTTTAAAATACTTGACTCTATATATACTTTCTATTGAATATAGTAAAATGGCTTAGTATTTATATTTTAATACAATATTGGCTAACTTAACAATAGTTAAATTAGATTATAAAGATGAGAGTATCAAAAACTGATATTTATGATTCAAAGCAAATACTGCTTAAATCAATAATTTTGCAAATTAACTAAGCTAATATTAAAGAATCTTGGCAAATTACTAAAAAAGACTAAGAAATATTTAAAAAAATACTTTATTGTTGTAACAGATCCTATTTCCTATTTAAATTTATGCATGTTCAATATATCTCATACATTATATATTTATATTACTTTTAAGTAATATTAGTATTAGCAATCTCTAGATTTTATCTTAGAATAGTGCATTATGATAGTACTATAATTAGGAGTCATCTAAAGCAGAGCAGAATCACGTAACATGGGCCAATCAAATTAGAGAATTTTGATGATCGCTAGCAAGAAAAACTTAAAAAATACAAAAAACAACAGTCTAAACCTACCTTGGGTAAGCTAAGTAAAAATGATGGCAGGGCAATTTTGTATATATAATTATCTAAAATTTGTTATCACTATAACCTTAATCTGATAACCCAAACTATGAAGTTAATTTAATAAAATATATATTGATATTATAAGAATCTACTCTGCTTTAGATGTCCCCTATAATTATAAAAAAAAACAATTAACTAAAAGAATATAGTTTTCTCAAATAAGTATGCTAGTTAAACTCAATATAATTAAGTTATATTATTAGTTCTTTAACTACTTACTGTTCTTTATTCTGTAGCAAAAAATAACTAATATGCAGCAATTCAATATTTTACATTTTGTAAAATATAAGAGCTTGCATAGTAGACTATATAGCTTGCTGTTAAAAATAACAATAATAAGATAGTTTAGTAGTTTAAAACTTTATCAATTAAAAAAATGCTTGCTAATACAAGCTGATAAATCCGAATCTGAAGAGAGTGAAAAGGAAAACAATTTAACTATTGCTAATCTACTAATTACTAAGCACAGAGACAGATCTAAAACTAAATGATATAAAGCTGCTATAAAAAAAAACAAAAAAAAAACAGAAAAAGCATATTGTTAACTATATATATCAAAGCTATAGTAATACTGAGCACAATGGTGCAAGTATTAACAGAAAAGTAGTTAATTTGATATGATTTATATTAGAAGATTTGTCAATTGTTATTTAATATAATGTTATTTAATATATAGTTATTATTTGATATATGATTATTGTTTGATATACATTTGTTATTTGATTTGTAATTATTATTTTAATATATAATTGTTGTTGTATAATTGCTGTACTGTACTTCTCTGACTGGAAAAAAGCACATCAAATTCCTTCTTAACCTACCTCTAATGCAATACCTAATCTATCTGGGCCCCTCTCACATAAAAGAAACAAAACTAAATATACTTATAACTGCTCTTTTGGCTTCGCCAATTAACTATATTCTGAATCTAATACTTGCCTGACCAAAGCTAAATATATACTATTGGTTAATCTGCAATTATTTGATGTCTAACTTAATCACAAGTATTAACAAGTATTTGACTATTAAATTTTTGTTTGATTGTGCTGAGCACTAAATAAAAAAATAAATAAAATACTAGTTATAATCATTTTTACTTAAATATTGTATAAAAATAGCATTAAACTAGTACAATTATTCATAAGGCAAAGTTTCAAAAGAGTAACTCTATAAACATCTTTCATATTAGCTAATTCACAATATTTTGCTTAACATTATAGTGATTTGTTATAATGATAAGTAATTTCATACAAAGAAAATTAAATTATTAATTAAATTTAAAAATTTTTATTGCTAAATTACAGTCAATCATTTTATTTTTTATATAATACTTACATTTCTTATATAATAATAATTAAACTATATGTATAAATAGCATTGTGATTATTTGGACTCTTATATATAATATTTTTTAAAAATTAGACTCTTATATGTAATTATTTTTAATTTGAACCTGTATTTGTAATTATTTTCATTTTTTAGACCCTTATTTAGTGCTTGGCAAAATCAAACAAAAACTCAATTATCAAGTTTTTGAATCTATCAATTTACTATATTGAAAATTAAATACAAAATTTATTTTTAGTATATATATAAATCTAACAGGAATCTGATTTTACTTTAGTCTTTATGGTAACTAACATGAAATATAAAGTCAGATTAAAGTAAAAATAGATTTATAATTGAAGCATAATACTACAAATTGATAGATTCAAAAACTCAATAATCGAGTTTTTGTTTGATTTTGCTAAGCAATACCCTTATTTGTAAATTCCTTTTCTATATTTCTCAATTCTGCACCTTCTTTAATTTTATTTTCTATTTCTTTTTCTGATTACACCTTCTATATCTACATCTTTAACTATATCTTTTTTGGTTTTAGCTATATCTATGTTGGATTTAATTAGATTTACAACAGCTTCAACTTCAACCAAAACTTTTACCTATTTGGCTTTCTCAATCAATTTTTTACAAAATTCATGTAACAGTTATGACATAATTTGTTATATTTTATTCAAGCTTTTTTGATCAAGCTGTTAGCTTTATCTTCTTCCTATTTCTTTCCTGCTAATAAACAAAATTGATAAGATTTAGTAGTTTTATATTTTATACACTTCTTAATTTCAGACATATTTGTTGTTAAGTAAATTAAAATAAGATTAACTAAATCAACTTAAATCAACAGATTTGTTAAAACATAGTGTGAAAGCTTTAAGCTCACTTAGTTCGATTTGCTGTTTGATAGAATGGATAGGTTATCTGAAGCCCTAAAAAGTGTCGTGAAACCTATAAAAAATTTCCGATCCTTGTATAACCATATCGTAATTTTTACAGCATGGTGGACAAACCCGAATTTGGTGATGATCGTCATAATTGAATAAAAAATTTTTTCTAACTTTTTATATGCGTTAAAGTACTTTTTATTTTAGTGATCTTTCAAAACCTAGCAATTAAATACATTGAAAAAACAAAGTAACAAGAAAAGCTCATAAAAGCCTACGTTTTATTAAAATTAATCCAAAATAATCCCAATATTTAATGAGTTATATTAGAAACAAATTTTATAAAAGATCGAAGATATCTTATGATCCAATAGGTAGAATTTAATAATTTTTATACCATTAGATTCGTCTCAATGAAATGAATCAAATGGTATAAGCTTCATCAAATTCTGACTACTGGATTGTGAGATATCCTTGATCTAGTAAATAAAAATCTTTCGAATTATTATAAACTGATTAAAAATTGTGCATGTGATCGGTAAATATCATATTTTTATTGGACAGATCGACCCTGAGTCACGTGGGAAGTTTGTGCTACGAGGTTTGTCCACCATGCTAATATTTACTGGAGGTTGTTATAAAACAGATTAATCCAGTGTTGGCCGATGATGTCATTTAAATGACATGACTTATATGATTTGTCATATTACAATATCATATGAAGTGCCATATATTAATATTATGACATAATCTACATCATATAGCATATGATTCATATGAATCTATATCATAGGAATATATCATATGACATTATGATATTGTCATTTGCCAACACTGGATTAATCAGACATAATCAGTTATCGTTATAACAATAATATAAACAGATTAATTGTAAATTATTGGTCATGATAAAACCGATTATCGGATTAAAAGTTTCTAACCCGGTTAAAATTTATAACCAGTTTAACCCGGTTATAAATTCGATTACGATAACCGGATCCAGACTCTAATCTGCACAATGTCATAGATGACCAAGTCTCATAAATATTTATTGAATAAGTTTTGAAGAATACTTAAAAGACCTGACCTCTATATGTTTCTTACATAGTATTATAGGCAAATTTTATTGCGGATTTTTAAGCAAATGTACTCTTACAAATAAAATAATGAAATAGCATCGGCCAAGAAATTTCGGAATAGCATAAAATTTGGAATTTGTGAAAGGTAATCCTAGGCTAATCATAATTTCTCATTGTATAATAATAAATTACATAATACAGTTAAAACGTATTTGATATCCAGAAAAAAATATATATTAATATATAATTTTGGATTCCAAGTAGAATATGTCATAATGCACCCAGACAAAATGGTAAAATTCAAAAATAAAACCAACTATATAGAAAAGAATTTAGACTAAATTCATTGAAGCACTGGTAGTTAATATTAACCGGTACAACCAGTACTGCCACAAGATTGACCCAAATTACAACATGTATTCGTATTAATGCAACATGTTTGTGTTGAACCACAACACGTACTATTTCCGCAACATTTTTCCGCAGCTCCACAACAAAGATTTCCGCAACATGTTTCGGCGGTTCCACAACAACGGCTTCCGGGGCAGCATGTTTGCGTGATTCCACAACAACGGCTTCCACAGCATGTTTGTGCAGTAGCGCAAGTAACGTTGCAAGATTGTCTCTTTGCCAAAGACATTGAATTATCAATAGGTTCAAATTGAATGTTATTATTTCTACTGTAGTTTAAAGCTACAGTGATAGTAATAACGCTATTGATGAATACGATTGTAGAAATAAGAATTAATGCGATTTTGTTCATGGCGTTTTAGGGTAATAACCTTTTATTTGATTGAGATAGTTTTTATATTAAATGTAAAATAACGATATGTTGAAATTAAAATTTCAAGTCCCTATTTATATCTGGTTGATTGATGCAGTGTTTGAGGAAACTTATTTTGGTAAGTTTCCACCTTATAGAATTTAATTTCTGATATAATTATTGACGCCTACTAAAAGTTGAACCTCACAAGGTGAAAAATTGCCAAATAGATTTTACCTTGGCGTCGCTCGTATAAAGATTACACATAATGGTTTAGATAACAGTTAATATATTAATGATAATGTAGGAATTGAAAAATAGACAATCCTCGTAGCACAAACTTCCCACGCTGACTCAGGGTCGATCTGTCCAATAAAAGTATGATATTTACCAATCACATGCACAATTTTTAATCAGTTTATAATAATTCGAAAGATTTTTATTTACTAGATCAAGGATATCTCACGATCCAATGGTCAGAATTTGATGAAGCTTATATCATTTGATTCTTTTCATTGAGACAAATCTAATGGTATAAAAATTATCAAATTCTACCAAATTGACCATAAGATATCTTCAATCGTTTATAAATTTTGTTTCTAATATAACTCATTAAATATTGTAATTATTTTTGATTAATTTTAACAAAACGTGGGCTTTCATGAATTCTTCTTGCTACTTTATTTTTTTTAATGTATTTAATTGGTAGTTCTTGAAAGATCACCAAAATAAAAAGTACTTTAACGCATATAAAAATCAGAAAAAAATTTTTATTCAATTATGACGATCATCACCAAATTCGGTTTGTCCACCATGCTGAAAAATAGAGAAAGTAATGACTAAAAAAGAGATGAACGTAATAATACCTGTTTTTCCTTATACTGTAGCATATTTACCTAAATTAATATATATTTGGTAGGTTACTGCTTTTTAGGTATAAAAAATTTAGGTTTCAATGAATTATTGTGAATTGGCAAATCTATTTAAATTATCCGGAAAAAAATATCACTTATGTAATCGAGAATGGCTAATCTATAATCAATGATTTTGGGTTTGAACGAATTCTACGAAACTAAAGATTCATTTATTGTGGTTTGCGAAATATGTAAAATTTGCAGATCAAAAAAACGATGATTTTTGATTTCTTTAACATTGTTTCTGATGACGTAAGTATTTCAACTAATATTATACTATTGTTGGGCAAAACCGCCAAAATTCGCTGCGCTGAATTCGACGTCACGAGACCTAAAAAACGTGACGAAAGACCCGAACCGAAGCCCCAAGAAATGGTGACTGAATCGCTGTTAAATTATGGCTAAAACGCGGCAAAAGTGTTGCTGAGAAGCCACAAACCACGAAGAAAAGAAAGCTGGTTTGCACCAATTTGGCTTGGGGCAGTACCAAAAGCTTAGCCGGAGGAGGCAAAGCTTTGATGGCACGGCATGGCGTGGAGTGGCGTAATGGGCTTGGCTTAGAAGTAGAAAAGGTCTTTTTTTCTTTTATTTCCCACGCATGTAAATTTATTATAAATATGGGCTTGTTTCGCCCTCTAATAAAAAAACAGTGAATGTTTGCACAAAAGTCGTTCGCTTAACCCACAATATACTTGATTTAGCCTTACTTTGTCAAATCAAACTTGCCTTTATCCATTGGGTATATTGTTGGGTTGGTTGTGTTGTTTTGGTGGTGATTGGTTTGTTGTGTTGCCGCCCAGTTGCTTCCGACGCTATATAAAGACTTATCGTTATACATATATATAATATATATTTATTTAACATACTTTTTTTTTTTAAAAAAAAAACATTTATGATGACAAAAATTGTCGCAGCTGATGCTGAAAACGGCTGATGCTGAAATTTTTTCATATTTTATTATGAATTTATAAAAAATTTTAAGGTCTTTTTTGTACACTTTTTTTTCATAGTTAGGTTAGGGTTAGTAGGGTAGTTTTATTAATAAAAAAGTATATGTGGATTTTAGTAGGTATTATATATTTAAATAGAGACCAAAATTTCAGCATCAGCCGTTTTCAGCATCAGCTGCGACAAAAATTATTATCCCGGAACATGCTTTGGATACACAAAGTGTCTACTTCTAAAATTTATTGTAATGAAAAATATATATATTCCAATAAAAAATAAAATACTAAAGTTCATTATTGAATTCCATGATTCTATCAGTAATAAACAAATTAATTTCTAGTATCATGTAATAATTCTTATAAGATCGAATTTTGGCGCAACTTTTAAAATTTCTTCTTGCTTATCATGCAATAGTAAATTTTATCGGGCTAGGGAAGAAACAAAATTTATATTATTCAAGTTAAATCCTGCAGAAATAAAAATCGAATTTACAAAAATATGATTATCAATAACAGATAATCTGTATCTCAAGAATTTTTGTTGATTTTTGACTTAAATGAATACCAATGTTCGGTCATTAATTTACCCAAAATTATCAGCAAAGACTTATCTGTTCTTAAGGTATCGGAATTATTTGACTACGCATTCGTTGTGAACCAGAAATGATGGCAACCCCTTTTTTTTGCTTATTTAGACTTAAATTTAATGCTTCGAACCACAGAATTTGTTTGAACCAAAGTCATTTAAACAGTTTAGTCATTATAAAATTATATAAAAATTCCTGATATTTTTGCGGCACACTTTTATACAGTAATAGTGCAAAACCAGGCCTCAAATTATATAAAAACTCTGGATATTTGTGACACACCTTAGTATATAGTGATAATGTAAAACCAGAGCTATAAAGACCTAAGAAACTTTTGATTTTAATCTTGCGACACCCATACAACTTAAGTAAAAAATAACAATTTCAAAACATCCAGAACATTCAAGTGCATCAGCAAGTTGTTTTTTTTATAAAATCTACATAGATCTATAACTTTATATAGATATTATATAGAATACTATTTAAGAATTATATATGTTAATTTTTATATATTATTTAATATACAACTTATATAAAATTTATATAAACTTACACACAAATATAATTTTATAAAAAATATTATATAAATATTATATATTTATAAATATTATATATTTATAAACATTATATATTTATATATATTATATATTTATAAATTTTATATATTTATAAATTTTATATATTTATAAATTTTATATATTATAATTAAGTAACTTTTATATACTATAATATCCAAATAAATTTTTTACATAAATTTTATATATTAATAAATTTCATTTAATTAGTTTATCCTTGTTAATATCAACCTTACTAATATCAACCTAAGCAATAAAATAAATTTTTACAAATTTTTATATATTAAAATTTTTTTATTTTTTTATTTTTTTTTTAATATTAAGGTGACCACTTAGGTCCCCAGTACTTAGCTTTATTCAGATAAATACGATATTACATCAATTTTACGAGGATACAACATATCACTCTATGATTTATATTACTTTAATACTATATTTGTTAAGAATTTTTACGACTTTACTTATAACCCGAAAATTTCAATTTGGGCTTTATTTATATGTAATCTGCACCACGTCCTAATATAGAAAATTCTCCAGGTAACTGGCAAATCATCAATTAAATACACTTTATAGAAACCAAACTTTAATAATATATATTTAAAAAACAATTTGAATATGCATTTAGAGAGGTCTTACTATACTTTTGATTAGGATTTTTTTTTTTTTTTTTTTTTTTTTTAAGAAAGGTCTTTTCTCTATTCCTTTATTTCAAAATATATAATTAGATACAACCGTACAAATTTATACATTTAACGAAAGGGAGTAGAAGTTAGGGCTAGGATTTACCCTCAACCTATTCTTAGCTAGAATGGTTGAAAAACCTCTAGACTACGTAATTTGAAAGGGGTGATATAGAGTTGTGTTGAATAAAGTTATTAAGCCATAGTGTAAATTGTCTATCTAGTGAATGAAAGGGGGTATGTTTTATAGTAGGTGAAATGATAATTAAGGGGTTTGATACAGGTTGTTGTGGGTTCATTCGGCTAGGTTTCCATATTTTTTCATGTATATTTTTGATGATCGTGTGGTAAATTTGTGGAATTAATGTAGTGTTTTGAGTAAGCGTTCCTAATTTTGTTAAAATATTTGAGTTTATAATGCCGAGTGGGATTTGTTTTTTGATGTGGGTTGTGATAAACTCTTGGATGAATTCTTCGGTAGGTGGTGCGTTTATATCGTTTGTCTGACATATTTTTGCTATTGTTTCGTTTATTATTTCTTCAATTTTTGTAGAGTTGTGTGGACAAGTAAGCATGTGAATTGTATCTTCAGGTATTTGGGGACATTTTGCACAGAAGGGGTTAGGATGTGTTGATGGGTTTCTAAAATATAAGTGGAGGTGGGTTGGTAGTTCAGAAATCATTAGTTTTACTTTAAACGTTTTAAGTGTTGATTTAGTTGGACATGTATTGCGACTAAGTGGAGCATTTTGGTAATTTAGGTAGTCTAAAGTTAGTTTCCAGTGAATGCAGTCAGGGATTTTGCCTAAAATGGACAGTGTAGATCGCACCTTGTATGGTATAGAAATGTCGATCACATGATTCTAGATCATTTGGTTGCACAAAAATCATGTGCAATTGACCAATCAAATCTCATCACAACAAAATTTACTTATTAATTAAAAGAAGTTAGCTTTCATTTACCTTTTTTATAATGGGTTATTTCGAGGGATCAAATGGGATCATTTAAAGTAGATATCTTATATTAGATATTCGTATATCGTTTAATATCGAATAAATAAATAAAATATCAAATGATCCCACCGTGATAAAAAAATGTTACACGGCCAATCAAATTCACTGAATGACACAAAGATCATTCTAGAATGGGATTTCCTAATTTAGTAAAATCCCTGACTGGAATGTTTGGACTTTTCTGTATTGTTGATTTAATGCGGTTTTGTTCGTTCCATTTGATGGTGGCTTTGGCTTTTTGTATAATTTTGGGTATTTGGTGAATGGAGTAGGTTGTTG